CCACACTCAGAACCACCAGAAATCTAGTTGAATGGGAGTCCAGAAACTATGGAATTAAAGAAACTGCATCCATCCAGACTGGTAGGAAGGGTACAAACACAGACACGTGGAACAGGCTGGTCCCACACCCATGTGTGGTTGACAAAAATTCGAGAGAGAGTGCGGGGTCCCAGCCCCACACCAGGCCCCTGAGCCCAGGGTTCCATTACCAGGAAGATAAGTCCCCATAACTTCTGACTGTAAAAACCAACAGAGATTGAGTCAGCAGAAGAAAATGCTGGATTCCCAAGCAGTGCCTCTTAAAGAACCTACACATGGACTTGCTCAGACTCACAGACTCACACCCTCAGAGCTCCAGCACTGGGGTAGCAGTTTGCAAGACACCAGGGGCAAACGGAAGAATTGAAGTGTTTGGTGTTAGGACAAGAGCTGGGCAATGGCTTTCTCCCAGACAGAGGACAGGCAGAGGCCATTGTTTCTTTCCTGTACCCTCCACCTACAGAGCCATAAAGCCCGCAGGCAGGTGTCATATCTGAGACTCTATCAACCTAGCTTACACTGTTTGCCCCACCTCGGTGATTCTCTGAGGTTCTATCCCAGTCAACTTACAGGCCCATGCAGGCTGTCAACAGTGACTATTCCTTATCTTGTCTTTGCTCAGGCTTCACATCTTCCTAAATACTCTCAAACAAGGAACAACCAGCCTCAGTGAGCCCCCAGTTCCTGTACCTCTTATTAAGTGACCTGAGGCCCAACAATAGCAGCATCAGCCAAGGTTCACAGCTTGGTTTCACCTGGTAATCCACAAACCCAGCACAAGTAACAGCCATCTGTAGATTGCTCTGTAGCTCATGCTGAGTGGCCTGGGCCAGAACAAAGGTGGTGGCAGACATTGCCCTGCACCACCTGGGAAACCCCAGAGCCTGAGTACTCAGTGGAGAGCTATAGGCCATGTCAGAGCACCACCACCCTGCCCCTGCACAGCTGATCCTCCATGGAGGGTGGAGGTTGGTAGTCAGTGGCCACCACCAGTCCCAAACAAGATGGACACAACAAAGCCCACACCAAGACACATCATAATGAAAATGCCAAAAGTTAAGGACAAAGAGAGAATCTTAAAAGCAGCAAGAGGAAAGAAGTTAGTTACCTACAGGGGGGTTCCCATAAGACTGTCAGCTGATTTCTCAAAAGAAACTTTGCAGTCTGGAAGGGACTGACAAGAAATATTCAACGTCATAGAAGGCAGGGACCTACAGCCAAGATTACTCTACCCAGCAAAGCTATCATGTAGCATTGAAGCACAGATAAAGAGCTTCCCAGACAAGAAGAAACTAAAGGAGTTAACCATCACCAAACCATTATTATACGAAATGTTAAAGGGGCTCATTTAAGAAAAAGATCAAACTATGAATAATGGCAATAAATACATACTTATCAACAACTGTTTTTTAAAAAACTAATCAAACAAGAAAACAGAGACGGAATCATGGATACAGAGTGCATTTTGATGGTTGTCAGGTGGGAAGGCGGTGTAGGGGAACGGGTGGAGCAGTGAGGGGATTAAAAAGACAAATTGATATTTATAGAATAGCCATGAAGAGGTACAATGAAGTATAGGAAATAGAGAAGCCAGAGAACTTGTACACATGACCCATGGACATGAACAAAGGTGTGGGGATGGCCTGAGGGATTAGGTGATGCTGGGTGGAGGGGGACCAAAGGGATAAAAAGTTGGGGCAATTGTCATAGCATAATCAAGAAAATATAATTAAAAATGATATTAATTCACCCTCCTCATGAAAATATAATAAACTATATTATCATAAGCATAAAAAAGAATCTATTTAAATTAAAATAAAATGGTAATATTTATAAATTTAACTTAAAGCTATAAGAGTTAAGTTTTTTCATTTCTGCTAGTTTAGTCCAGAAACCCAGTCATTCCATTCACTTCATTTCTCTCCAAGTTTAAAGCAAAAATCTTCCTTAATTGCCATTTATTTAGGTGAAATTCTTTTCTATTATTTCATGCTTGTTCTCTATCCTCTCAATTTTCTCCATCTGGAATTCACATTAGTCAGAATGTAGAATTTCTGGATCTATTCTCTATATGTTAGAACTTTTATATTTTTTATCTATTGGCTTCTCGTATTTTGGGAGAACTCCTCACTTTTCACCTTTTATTTTCATTGTTTTTATTGTCCCCAGTGACTCCTGCACTACCTTTTCTATCCACATCCGAGATACAATCAATACAGCCTTGAGTGGTGAGCCAGCGACAAAAGGGAGATAAAGAGAACCTCAAGAGGGCCAGGACCCAGCCTCCCATTTCAACAATGAGCCGAAGTTAATGCACGCAGAGGCTGGAGTTCCCAAGCGAAGGAGATTGGCGGTTACAGAAATCACTGAGGAGTTGGTATCACGCCAACGGCCAATGCTGATTTTGCACTGACCTATTTAAAGAATTTCTTTACTTTGAAACACAATAAAATACAATCAAATGAAACATGGGATATCCACAAATGTGGGGTTGGGAAAAGCTCAGGAATTAAGACCTCAGATTTTTGGAAGAGTTGAGATAAAATACAAATAAAAGTAAGGGAAGGCATCCTCCCCAACCTCTCCCTTTGTGAAGGCTTCCATAAAGTTACAACAGTGGTGTTCAAATTTATTGCTGATTTCAGGGACCAGAGGCAGCAAGCTCCGGACTGTGGACTTAGACCTGACCCAGTGTTCCTCCCCTGAGAACTCACCGGGTTTCCTCTCACTTGTATTCTCTCTGTGCAGAGAGTAGAAGAATGGATACTTCTGCTCCCTCATAAAAACTGCTGGGATATTTGCATTTATCGGTTTTCAAAATTCCAGCCTTAACCTGGTTCATCATTATTCCTAGAGTTTCTGCTCAGGCTTAGATACCAGTAATGCCATTTTCATGTAACTGCAGCTGATGGCTCATTCTTTTTCCTCTCTCTCTCTTTTTTATTTTTGAATTACAGTTAACATACACTATATATTTCAAGTGTACAACCCCATGATTAGATGTTTCTATAACTTAGGAAGTGTGCACCCTAATAAATCTAGTACCCATCTGACACCATACAGAGTTATTACATTATTATTTACTATATTCCCATGACTTTTCCATAACTACCAATTTGTACTACTAAATCCCTTCACCTTTTTGATGGCTCACTCTTTTGAAACACAAAGTTGCCCAAGTCATAGAATCTTGCCGAACTAGAAAAGAGCCGTGAGATACGGGACACACAGGGAACAGAAGACCGTGACTGCCTGAGGGCGGTGGTGTGTAGGCATTTCCCATGCCAGAAGCACAGTAAGTTTTACTGCATTGTTCAAGAGCAACCTTTAGAAACCCACGTCAACTGTTTTCAACCTTTACATTTAAAAAAATGAATGTATCTGAAAACTGGTTGATAGAAAAGCTAATGTGCATAGAAAGAACATCAAGTGTCTGAAATTATTTATTCATTCAATAACCTTTAACTCTTTAGTTCTTTCATTGTTACACTCAGTGAGCTGTAGGAGATGATCAATCACCCTGTGCTCGTCTCCTACAGGGTGCTGTCTAGACCTTCCTAAATGCTTTCCTGGAAAAGAAAAACAGCACATCTTTCCAATCATTGCTTTTATAAACTAAGAATTTAAGCAGAAAGAAATATTTGCCAGTTGTACAGAAAATGGGAAAATAAAAAATGACTGAGTCAAATTAATCCTGAGGGGAAAAAAATAGAATGAGTCCAGTTCTTTGGCGTAAACCATCCACTCACCTCCCTCGTCAGTGTCGCTGCGGTGATACCAGACCAGGGCGGCCTCCTGGGTCTGGCGGTGCCCTGGGCTGCCAGGGAGCCCGCCGCAGCTAACGGCCCACGTTTCGCCTCCCGCTGCCCACGAGGCTGCCTCTTTTCCTCCATCTCTGAGTCACCCCTCGAGGATTCCTGAAGCCCTCCTTACCTTTTCTGTCATGGCAGAGACTGGCCTTTTCAACTAACATTGTACAAAGTTAGCTACAATTTTGTCTCAGCGATTCTAGATTCATAACCTGTGACATTCGGAAAGGGTCCCGTGAGTCATCCAATTCCATTCCCTTACTCCAGAGACATGGGCATGGTGATGGCTCAAGCCCTTGAGACTGGCTAAGGGGAAGGTCTTAATTAGAAACAAGATTTCCTGACTCCACCGGGGTCTATTTAGCCCACAGGCTATGCACGGACTCTGACTTTTTACCCCCGTTTTCCATAAAAGGCTATTCTTTTGTTTTACTTTCCCACTATTTCAGCAGAGGGGATTTTCTGGTGGCCCCACTATGCTACTGATGACCTTTTAGTCTATATTTAACTCTCCTTTCCCCGTCTCTTATGGCTTTGCAACAATATGTTCTAGGGATCATCCCTTGTATCTTCTCTCAAAGAGTGCAAAACCCAGGATGACTCGGGCTCACTTTTCTCAGAGGAGAACTCAGGTGTTAAAAAGAGAAGCCCCACAAAAAAAAAAATGAGTTTCAGTGTCACGCAGCTTCTTCTTCATGAGGCAAAGGTGAGGCAGCTGAGTAACAAAGATCTGAGGCATCTGAACCAAGGTTCATGTATTCATTTATTTCTCACTGTAGCAATAAGGTAAACAAGTATAATTTCATGTATAGTGAGTTACAAAAGGTAGTGAGCCCAGGAACCTTGAGTGTATCTATAAGGCAAATAAAACAAATGCTTTTCATACCATAAGCATTAAACTTTAGATGACGTGGGAAGAGTCACTCCAGGCACTGAATACCAAGACTGAGGGGCAAAATGAACTTATCATTCAAAGCAATTTCAAACTTAAAATAAAACATTTAAATTCAAATACTTTAACAAAATTCCAAATACAACCAGTACACCAAGAATCATCCTTAGCCAAACAAAAGATCAAGAAACAAAACAGTGAACAAAAACAATGCAAAAAAAACAAAAAGTACATCCAGAAAAACTAGATGAGCATCAAAATCACATCTCTTCTTCTGATTCTTGTTCTCGTTCAGCATGTTTCAGGAGTCCAACTTCTGAGGGGTAGAAACTGTTAAATCGCGATTTAACCAACCTGAGGAGAATGAAAGACATCTCATGTTATGGTGTTTAAGATTTAAAACCCAGAGCAATACATACATATAATACCAAAAACTCTAAATTATTTGTGCAAATAGGAGAGGTACCCCAAAAGAGAAACTCACTTTTGATTGTCTTTGGTCATGCTTGAAAATTCTTTGTGGATTAAAGCAGGGGACAATAAGTAAACAGATGCAATATAGCTTTTGAATGCATAACATGATTATTTAATTAAGCATCGGAAGATGCTGAATTATTCATAACTTTTATCATTTCTAAAACAAAGAAGAGACTCTCTGGGCTGTAGAAGGTCCAGAAGAAACCAAGCTAAGCCATGCTTTTCTGAGTCTGCCTCTAGCTGTGTACTGCAAATAAGAGCCCTCTTCTGGCAGGAAGTGCATAAAGGCATCTCCTTCTACATGTCAAATCTGGGCTGCACTGCGGGCGCAACTCACACCTTCAGAGAGGTGCTTTCGTGCAGGTCCCAGGCAGCTCCACTGCATGTGATGGTCCACGGTGAATTAAGAAGTTAGAAGTGCACTCCACCCTTGTGACTATTTTCATAGATTGAGACAATCTGTCGAATTGGGAGAAGCAGCAATTATAATTTTTGACATTGGAAGATGCTAAGCTTTCAGCAGCAGAAACTCAGCAGGCCCTCCCCTTTTCTGATGTAATGAAAACTACAAAAAGTTTTCTCTGTGCATGATTATTTATAAAGACATTGTACTGTAACAATATCAATAAAACATAGTTAATTCCAGAAATACATAGGAATATGCAAACAAACTTGAAAAACCAAATCATCAAAATCATTCTCATTTTATGAAACACTTCACCAGCCTGTCTGCATCTTTACCCTATTTTCTGCCTTTCTTCTTCCAGTGAAGGTCTGTCCTGCCCCATCAATATGCCCTTGTGCTCTGAATCCCACTAGAATATAAGCTTTGTGAGAGCAGAGACCTCATCTTATTTACCGCCTTAACCCGAACCAGCGTCTACAACAGTGTCTGGCACATAACAGTGTCTCAATACATAGCTGATAAATCAATGGCCCTTGGGGTAATCCACCAGGAGGTCATATCACTCACCTATTCATAGATAATTCATCATTCTTCAGTCACTTCCAACTCAGCACTAACTCCTCCAATACATGACAATAACTGAGCAGTATTCAGTAATATCTATTGACTCATCAGGAGCCAAGAAAAACTCAAAATCATTTGTCCTGATTATTAATTGACAATTGATGTCCTCAGTTCTTCAAGGCATTGTTCTTGTGAAAGGCTAATAGTCTTAATTTAAAGTCTGGGGCAGCATTTGTGTCCTTTTTTTAAACCCACAGTTATTTCCATATTGTACAACTTCAATGAATGCTAAATGAAATGGACTAATTAGTTAATGCATTCATTAGATTCATTCCTGAAACTTTTGAGGAAAATAAAACAAAGACATAACTACTTGTTACAAATTAATTGTTAACACAGACCCTAGTGATTTCTCTTGTTGCCTCTTCCTCCTCTCTGGATTGTATCTGCTGTTGCTACAGGCTGCGAAGATGAGGAATGTTCAGATACTTTAAACAGGCTTTATCTGCACCCTGTAGCTCTACATATAGGCCCCTGGGTACAGACTGAGGGATGGAGTAAGAAGAGGAAGTAAAAATAATTTCTAGCCCTAGAATGAGGCAAATCCAGGGAAATAAGGTCAAGGTGTGTCTGGGCTTTTGTTCCCATACATTCTGCTCAATTAATATGAGAAAGAGCAGAGCTGACACTCTGGAGGTACCTCCAGACTTGATCTAGAAAAGACTTCCAGAAGGCAAACTATCATATGCCTGGAATTCTGTCACCTCTATTTTGTTCTTCAAAATGGCTCACACGAATCATTGCATAGAAAACCAACCTGAATTGGGCAATATTTCTCAACTTATAGAGCAGGCTTTTGAAATGGTTCTGTGCAACAGAGGTATTTAAATATGAAATAAGGTAAAACATGTAAAACTATCTCCAAATAGACAGGTTTCTCCTATGAGCTGTCATAATCAAGACTGCAGGCATGGGATGGGATGAGGCAATCTTTGAAACGTTATTCCAGAAAACTGAGAATTACAGCTTCCCTTTTCAGATATTTTGTGGGTAGTAGCTCTGTAACTCCATTTTGCTTCCATGGTGATCTTTGTGCAGTGTCAAACAAATTCTGACACAATGTCCTGAAAATCCACCACCTGTCACTGAGTCATACATCAGTCCACTGTCAAGCCTTGACAAAAAGATTTTCAAAGCTCCTTGTGGTTACAGGACTGAACTGGCCTTCCATGTGACCTTACTGCAAGGCAGTACTGAATCTTCATATTTTTTAAGCTATTGCTTGAGTTCATATCAAAATATGAGCTCCTGGTCTTTTATTTTCAAGATCAATATGAGAACAAAACTTAAAAGCATATAAAACATGATTTCCAAACAAATGAAGAATAGATTCAAGTAACTCCGAAAGAGATTTATTAAAATAGATTAAATGTTCATTGAGTAGCTTCTATATGGTTGACAGTGTGCCAAGAGCTGTGAGAAATGAAAAGGGTCTTTTCCCCAAGGCAACACAACCTAGCTAACAGGTAAGACTATCATGAGCTAAGTGCAAACATCGCATGATAGATCACAATTGTTAAAATGTGTGGTAGAGACTAAAGTACTATAAAAACTCATGAAGAGAGATAAGCAAGGCCTAGAATAATCACAGAAGTTGTTGTAGGAGAGATAAGCATTTAACGTGGATATGCCAGGGAGAGGGAACTATATAGCCAAAAGGTGAAAAGGAGGGGATTCAGGGGTTGAAAAAATAAACATTGCATTTCTGTTTTCTAGAGAACTGTAAGTAGAAGTGAAAGTCATTAGAGGTCTGAAGTTTTCTGAAACAGGAAAAGACAGTAGTCTTCTTTTGGCTCTGGAAAGGAGCTGACATGCGGTAGAGAAGTTCCCTGAATGTTGGCTTTGATCTTGGAGGCTGCCCAGCCCCTAAGGAGAAGAGGCCCAGATGTCAGCCTGGAACAACAGAGGGAGAAGCCAAGTTTCACTCAAAGCAGAGCCAGCCTTAACAATGGCTACTAATAGGAATTAATTTACGAGAAGATAAAATTTCCCAGTACGCAAAGCACTTAGAGCTCTAGAAAGAGGCAGCTACAGGTCAAAGTGGGCTGACCCAAAGCCTACCAGAGACATCTGGGAGCCATTTTCTTAAAGGTTTCCTTACCTAGAGAGCTAACACCAAAGGTGCTTCAGAAGCTCGAAGCACAGAGCTGGAGTGGAAACATAGAGCGCAAGTCTAGAGAAAAAAGTAGAAAACTAGTTTTGCCCGAGGCTGAGACCCCATTGGGCCAGAAGCAGCTCCTGAATTTTGGGAATCTAGAGAAACTGCTAGATGTGTACTGGCCAATATGGTGGTCACTATGAATGTGATGTTTAAATTAGTTAAAATTAATGTGGCACCAGGAACATGGCAACATGCTCAATAACCACACATAGCTCATGACTATCACAAAAAAGATGTAGATAAAGAACATTTTGGTCAGTGCTGAGGTCTGAAGGATTAGGTATGGGAGGCTGTGTGCCTAGTAGTTAGGACTGGCCAGGCCAACCAGCTGTGGTTTGGCGTTAGCTGCCTTGGAGAGAGGACCCACGTTCACCCCTTTTAGGACTTCCCATCCTTCAAACTGCAACTTAATTCTCAACTGGGAGAAGGCATCCTCTGAGTCCCAAAAGTGCTTTGTTCTTCTAGTATTTCCACTTACTGCATTGTACTTAAATTATCTGTCTCTCCCCATAGGGTCTACATTTATGCACTTCTGATACAGAAGAAAAAAGAGAAGAATAAGAAGAATAACAAAAAGAACAATGAAAATAACTTTCATTGAGCTCTTATTATGGCCTGAGTAGTTTAAATATATGATCTTATTTAGACAGTATTATTGTCCCCAATTTGCACAAAAAACAAAAAACAAACAAAAACCCTGAGACTTAATGTGCTTAAATAATCTGCCTGAAGTCACACAGCTGATAACAGCAGAGCTAGGAATATGTGTTCTTATCAGTCAGGTCTATTGCATCTCACTCATCATGCAACATTATAACAGGGTCGTTGTAAAAACATGTACCATCCAACAAAATCTTACTTTTAGGATATCAGAGTAGACGTCAAATTCATCAGGTACTCAGATTCAATGAGAGACAAACATGTTGGTCAAAAAAATGACACCAAGCTCAGCAAGTGCTATAACTGATGTACACATGGACAAATGGAGGACTCATTCATTGCAGGTGTGGGGAGGACCATTTATAACAGGAAATAGCATATGCAAAGGAATGTAGGTGCAGAGGAGTGTTTTGAAGGCTGATTCATAGATCGGAGGCACAGCAGAGACACTGTTGAGCTATTCTAACTTGAAGTCTGCCTTTATTCTTTCCATTGGAAATGTCTGTGTTTGCAGGTAAAGTTCTGCTATATTACCCTGTCTTGTGGGTAATGCTAAAAATGAAATTTCTCCTTGAATTTTAAGTTCAATAGTATCAAGTTTTGCTGATCGTACACCAGGGAATAGAACTTCCATGAACAAAGATCACTAACTTACCAGGTGACAAAAGCATAAATCATTCCAATGACGATAAAGGTGAAGGCATAATGCCAACAAAGGCATATGGTGAGAAACATAATGTTGTCATGATCCATTAGATCCCATGCAGGACCTCCACTAGGGGGATAAAGGACAAAACCAATCTGCAATTTAAAACAAAAAGCACACATGAATATAACCAGCCACTTTTCAAAATGCTTGGTTCCAAGATCAGTGGGAACTAAGACAACTCCCATTATCTGAAATACTACAGATAAGCCATCAGGTTTTATTGCTTGTTTAAGTAATATAGACAGTCCCTAGTAGGTCATCTTTTTGCAAAAAAAAAAAAAAAATTAAGGACATTTAAAGATAAATTTCAAGATATGAATAGTAATCATCTCTGGGGACTGGTGGACTTTCAGAAAATGTGCTTAGGATTCCAAGTTGTATAGTTTCACCTGTTTACTTCAAAATTAGAGCACAGGGAGGTTTTAATATAAGTAAATGCTCACAGCTAACACTATAATCAATGATAAAAGATGGAAAGATTTTCCCCTAAGACAAGACAACATATCTGATTTCACCATTTCTATTCAACATTTATACTAGAAATTCTAGTCAGAGAAATTAGGTATGACAAACAATAAATTGCATGTATTGAAAGTATACAATTTGATGGGTTTTGTTTCAATTTCCTCACTATTGATCAGTCAATTTAGATTTTCCAGTTCTTCATGATTCAATCTAGGAAGTTATATATTTCTAGGAACTTACCCATTTCTTCTCAGATTATTGAATTTGGTGGTACATAGTCTTTCATAGTATTCTAATACGAATCTTTGTATTTCTGTGATGTCTGTGGTAACTTAACGTTCATTTCTGATTTTGTTTATGAGTCTTACAGTTCTAGGAGTCTGTGTATTTTCTCTAATGAGTCATTATATTTTTTTTATGCACTAGTTCAAGCATAGATGGAGAAGTAGCAGGAGAAAAAAATATAGTGAAAAGCAAATCACTGTAACATTATTATCTTAAGAGACAATTTTTCCCATAAAATTTCATATATCACCTTTGCAACAAAACATGAAAGCATGATAATTCTCCTAAGTCTCCAGACTTTTTTTTTTTTTTCACTTTCAGAGGAATCTAATGGTGGGGAGCAGTACTATGCTAAACCTGTACTTCCTGCCAATGTGTGTTTGTATTGATGTTAAAGGTTCACTTTTCCTTAAGTCTTCATATGTTATTTAGTCTGGCCACCAAGTAAAAAAAGAAACTAATCTAGACATACTGATAAGTAGAAAAATTTTTAAATAATCACAGATTTATGCTCAAAGACTTCAACTCATAGTTCTTCCTCAGAAAAGTTTTGGTGAAAATAAGAAAACACTATTTCTCTGCCAAAAGGGACAACATTAAATCAATCAACTCTCAGTTCTGACAGCCCACACCTTCCTCCCTCAAATCTTTAATTAATTATTACTTATTAATGGAACACCAATTATTTTAATTAATTCTGCTCTTTATTTTTTCAACTCTCTTTGATTTTCACCTTTTGTTTTTACTTCCTGAAATTAATTATGTATATTGATTCTTTTCTGAATATGCCTTTCTTTTAAAAACTTGATGTAGTAAATATATGTAGAATCCCAAACCCCAAAAGATAGAATATACTTTCCTTTCACTTACATGGAACATTGGCTACCACTGACATTGAGCAATGACCCAAAGAGAGTCTCAACACATTTCAAAGAGAACACATTCTCTGACTCAAAGCAATTAAATTGGAAATGAATAGGAAGAAGAAAAAGTATATTTCTGGAAACTTAAAAGTATACTCCTAAATAGTTCATATATTAAAGAGGAAAACGCATGAAAAGTGCCACATTCAAAATTGTCCAAGATACTCTGGTTTCTCTTCAAGACGAACAAATCTTTCGCCTTTTACAAAATTGCCCAAGAATGAAAACTCTCATACATCAGCCCTTATGGGAAGCAACTGTCGCAGTGTGTAGAGGAAAATCTATAGTCTTAAGTGTATTTATCTAAGAACAAGAAAGATTGAAAATAAAGGAGCATTCAGCTCAAAATAACACTAAAAAAAGAGGCGAATACAATCTAATGACATTAAAACAAAAATTGAAAATAAGAAGAAATTGATAAACCTGTAACTATAATATAAAACTTAAACAGACCTCTATCAAAAAGTAAGATACAAGGGGATGAAGAGATTGAGAAGTACAGACTGGCATTTGCAAAATAGTCACAGGGATGTAAAGTACAGAATAGAAATTATAATCAATAATATTGTAATAACTATGCATGGTGCTAGGTGAGTACTGAAAATATCAGGGAGATCACTTTGTTAAGCATATGATTGTCTAACCACTATGCTGTGCACCTGACTCTAATACAAAATGATATAGAACATCAAGTAACGTAATTGAAAAAAATCTTATAGGAATACAGAACACATAAACAACACAATTAAAGAATTCCAAAAGTCTGGCTTCATCCCTCACCTAAGAGGAATCCTTTTCTTTTCTCTTAGTTCCACTGCAACAAAATAACAACAGACAGTTGTCCACTTGGAGTCCCCAGGCATCCTGCCCAGCGCTACTCCTGCTGCAGAGACTATTCTGTATCTGCCCGCAAGGGGGCGTGCCCTGTTTTAGACATACTATTTAATAAAAGGTAGGTATTTTTTACTTTATTTTTTAAAAAACATATTTTATTGATTCTGCTATTGCAGTTGTCCCATTTTTCTCCCCTTTATTCCCTTCCACCCTGCACCCCACCGTTTGCCAGCATTCGCACCCCACTCCCAACTCCCCACCTTAGTTCATCTCCACGGGTCGTACATAAAGTTATTTGGCTTCTCCATTTCCTATACTATTCTTAACCTCCGCCTGTCTATTTTGTGCCTACCATTTATGCTTCTTATTCCCTGTACCTTTTCCCCCATTCTCCTCATTCACCATCCCCACTGATGACCCTCCATGTGATCTCCATTTCTTTGATTCTGTTCCTGTTCTAGTTGCTTGCATAGTTCATTTTGTTTTTGTTTTTAGATTCAATTGTTGATAGCTGTGAGTTTGTTGTCGTTTTACTGTTCATAGTTTTGATCTTCTTCTTTTTCTTACATAAGTCCCTTTAACATTTCATATAATAAGGGCTTGGTGATGATGAACTCCTTTAACTTGACCTTATCTGGGAAGCACTTTGTCTGCCCTTCCATTCTAAATGATAGCTTTGCTGGATAGAGTCATCTAGGTTGTAGGTCCTTGCCTTTCATGACTTTGAATAGTTCTTTCCAGCCCCTTCTTGCCTGTAAGGTTTCTTTAGGGAAATCAGCTGACAGTCTTATGGGAACTCCTTTGTAGGTAATTGTCTCCTTTTCTCTTGCTGCTTTGAAGATTCTCTCCTTATGTTTAGTCTTGGATAACTTACTTATGATGTGCCTTGGTATGTGCTTCCTTGGGTCTAACTTCCTTGGGATTTTCTGGGCTTCCTGGATCTCCTGGAAACCTATTTCCTTTGCCAGATTGGGGAAGTTCTCCCTTGTTTTTTCAAATAAGTTTTCAATTTCTTGTTCTTCCTCTTCTCCTTCTGGCACCCCTATGATTCAGATGTTTAAAGTTGTCCCAGAAGTTCCTAAGCCTCTCCTCATTCTTTTGAATTCTTGTTTCTTCATTCTGTTCTGGTTGAATGTTTATTTCTTCCTTCTGCTCGCAATCATTGATTTGAGTCCTGGTTTCCTTCCCTTTGCTGTGGGTTCCCTGTATATTTTTCTTTATTTCACTTGGCATAGCCTTCACTTTTTCCTCTATTTTGCAACCATATCAACCATTTCTGTGGGCATCCTGATTACCAGTGTTTTGAACTATGCATCTGATAGGTTGGCTATCTGTTCATCACTTATTTCTATTTTTGGAGCTTCTATCTGTTCTTTCATTTGGGCCTTTTTTTTTTTTTTTTTTTTTTTTTGGTCTCAGCTGCCTGTTATGTTGGAAGGGGCAGAGCCTTAGCTGTTTGCAAGGGCAGGGCAACTCAAGTCCTTGCGTTGTGGTGCTATATGTAGAGGGGACCAAGAGAGAACAACGCCACTTGCTCAGCTCTCAGCTGGCTTTCAGTTGCTCCCCCCACTACCCACAAACCATCTGGGCCCTTTTGGTGCTGATTCCCCAGTGGATGGGTTTGTGTATGTTCTAGGACCCTGTGAGTCTCTCCAGTGAACTCTCCTATGATACAGGGAGTTTCTCCCACCACGGCAACCCCTACAGATTTTTACAGCAAGAGGTTTTGAGGTTTTCTTTTCCCACACTGGAACCCTGGGTTGCTCAGTCCATCTCACTTCCGAGCTGTTCCTCCCAGTTTATCAGCACACAAATGTGGGACCTCCCAGTCCACTGAGGCGCAGCCTTGCTGCACATTTTCTCCACCCCAGCTGCCCGTCTCCACCCCTCCTACTGGTCTGGATGAATGTGACTTCTTTAACTCTTTGGTTGTTGGATTTCCATACAGTTTGATTTTCTGGCAGTCCTGGTTATTTTTTCTCTTTAAATTTGTTGTTTCTTTCTTTCAAATTCTTTTTTATTTTGTAAGTATTTTTGATATTTTATGTAATTGTTACGTGTCTGGAACAGAGGAGATACACTGAAGTATAAGCTTACTGTGTTAACTTGACTAGAAGTTGTCTCTTTTAAAATTAAAATTTATTTTTATTTGTGAATAGATAATAACACATGCACATGGTAAAACATTCCAACCAGGAGAAACAGAATGCATAATAAGGTTTTTTATTCCATTTTATTTAGGATCCCAGCAGATGATAAATATTCTAAAAAATTATCAATTTCATCACATTATAGGACATTTTTTATTTTGCCTATGTCATTTTTTTCTTCAAAGTAGCCCTTAAATTTAGCCTCTCTTCACTAGTCTCTGCTCCAACAGCATTTCTACTCTTGCACATGCTCAGATATCATGTGTCCTATCCCATTTTGACCATGGCATTTCTCTCCCCGATGCCTGTCAATACCTTCTCATTCCTCGTGTGAATTCAAGTCCCTGAAATAACCTCATGATCTCAAATCCCTGCTCTCTGGGGACTAAAAATAGTTCTAAGGAGTCTTTCCTGATTAAATTACATTTACCTTTCATTCAAGGCATTCTTTCCATCTATATACAGATATTGGATTATGATTTCCAATCCTTTATAAAATATATGTTCACTGAATACAGCTTTTCAACAACACATCAAGGTTAGGGATCTGACAGAACAAAACTGAGAGAACCTGGGATTTGTGGTCAGACACCGTTTAGATTCCAGTACCATTACTAGGTGATCCTGGAAACATATCTTGCTTTCTTTGATAATATATAACTTACAAGGTGTTGTGAGGACATAATGAAGCAATGTGTGCGGGGGGAAAGTCCTAAACAGTGGCTGGCACATACTTGTTTCTCAATAAATAACCGTTTCTTCCATTTCCTTCCTTCCAGTATATTTCTTGAGCTTATTACCCACTAGGCTAAAAGATGCTTTAGCATCAGGAGCTGCTTCCAACTCAAAGTACCAGCTCAGAGTTCCCGCCTAATGGATGTTTAGGGGTGTACACACCCCACTTCCTTCCCCACGGGTCTGTCATTGCTCCTACCGGGGCTGCTGTCAAAGGCCCACCTTCTCACTATGGCAGCTCATCAGAAGGAAGTCTCTGGGTTCTAGAGCAAAATGCCCCACCAAACAAAGAGAGAAGGTTATAGGTGAAGACCTTAGCTACAATAACCGGAGGCCCCAACTCACCTGCCAGAACCAGCTCCCCTGAAGCAGGATAAAGCTTACACGCAGAAGCTCCAAAATTACATTGTGGCGCATGAAGAACTCCAAGAAGGCAAGCAGGCCTGCCAAAAAGATGACCAAGACCAGCAGCTGGTGCACAAAGACGTCCAGTATTTCCCGGCCATGTGTGTGGTTGAAGAAAATAAAAGCTGACAGAGGAGAAAAATAGTTTGTCTCTTTAAATGAAATCTCTCTCCCCTCCATCTTCCACACACATTTGTCCAAAATATCTGGTGCCCACTCCTTCCCAGTTTCCCACTACACTGGCCTTTCAGGAGTCATCGCCACCTCTTTGGGATGGAATCTTTGAAATCTAACACTCCTTTCCCCTTCCCCAGCCTTTATTCTCTCCTCGAACACACCATGGCACATTCAACTAACTGTGTTTCACAGCAGGAGGATGAATAGTAAGCATGGTGGGTGTCGGAGGCAGCAGTCACGGCGAGTACGCGATGAAGGAGGACAAAGCCCCAACCTAAGGAACTCAGTCCATTGGAGGAAGCAAATACATACATAGATCATTGGATGCTCTGGCAGCTCCCAAGAGGTAGAAGCTAATTACATTTTTTAATCCCACGGGAAGAGTACAGCTTCCTCATCTTTTTTATTTAGGTGAAAAAGAAAAGATCTTTATTGAAAATACTGTAACACCCCGAGATTCAGACTCTTGGTTGTTGGTGCCCACTTTTTATTTTGCCCTCGTTCTCAAAGAGAGGTTAGCAAAAGTTCTTAGTTTCATATGTGGGAGGCAAGGTGGACAGTTAGGAAATGACTGCCTCCTGATAATTTGGGGCTTTTTTAGTTCCACGATCAACCCCCCCCTTACAAATAACAATAAATGAAAACAAATAATTAAACACTTGTTTTCAGTGTTTACACTGTAAGGGGAGTGTTTATACAGTAACAGGGAGACCAGCTGAACAAAAAATGTTGTTCTTCATTAATCTCTCAAAAACGGGACCTCATATTTTTATGTGACTGACTATTTTGGACCATATTCACCATGTAATGATGGGGTATTACAATATCTATATTAAAAAAGCTAGTTAGTAGGTGGCGGAAGCTACTCTGCTGTGTCTCCTCATTTCAGGATATTCATCTATCACTACTTAGAGTTCAGTTTCACTTTTAAAAACAGAAATAATGATAATATCCAGGATAACCCAGAAATAAAGAACCATGGCAGGTGGTTCTTTGAGACAGTTGGGAAATGTGAATAAAGTACTTTGAATGATTGTGCTTGTTCAGTTTTACTAAATGAGTCAGTAGGGAGGGAAAATCTTTGGCATCCGCCTAGGATATCAGATAGTTCACCATGGCCCAAATTGATAGCCCTATGGATCAAGTCTACACTAGGACACTAAAAAAAAAAAAAAAAAAAAAAAAAAAAAAAAAGAATTATAAAGGGCTAGACAAATATCTAATAATAGGGAAAGGTTCAGGAAAATACTCATTCATACTTACCCTCCACTAATAAGGCGTTCGACAACATTAACTTGCTTAAAGAGGCAGGAAGTGAGCTGATGATAGAACATAAGATGTTTGCTACACCCAGCAGCCCAAAGAAGAAATACATGGTAGTATGATGCCAGCCCAGGAGTTGGACCCATTGGCCTTTTTTATAGTCATACAAAGACAGGTGGGGCCCTCCAACAATAAACTGTTCCCCGAGCATACCTGTAGAAGAACATATTAAATTTTAGCAACTCTCTTCATAACTTTACCGATAAAACAGGGAGATGCAGTTGGATTAGCCCACTGCTTGGTCCAGTCTAGTGTCCTTTTATGACATTAATTCCTCTTTCTGGTCTGTCCCCTAATAGCTGTGCACTGGTAGTTTGAGATTGTTTTAGAGGTTCAAATATTGGTTTGGATAATCAAAGATAACCAATTTAGTCCAAAAGCTATTTCAGATCTTTAAAACTAAAGATCTTAGTTTCCCTTAGTTCCATGATCAGTTTCATTGATTATCTTATTTTAATCTAATGACTAAACAAATCCTGAATGATTTGGGGTCCTGGACTTGTAAGATCAGTCCCACAGACGATGATTACTTCCTTCTTACACATTTTATCTCTGCCACACAATAGGGAGCTGTGCTTGGTTCAGCATAAAATGCTAGAGTTCAGCTTTCCCCCAATTAAAGAAAACTGAGAAAACACAGCCAGATATAGCATATGGTCTCATCAGCTACACAAACAGCTCAACTTTCTTAAAGATGCTGCATTATTTGTTAATCTAAAAAATTTGGCATGGAAATTTCTTTCCTGGGGAGTGGTTGTTTTGTAGTTTGATGCCCATAGCACAGACCTACTGCCATGAATTAGGCAGGAAGAAATCCAAAGGAGCATTAGGAAGTTTTGCCTTTCATAAAGGAGAGACTGAAATGAAATTCTGAAAACACAGAACACTTTCACAGAATCTTATAGTCAATGGAAAGGCCTTAGAAGTCGTCTGACCTAACTTCCCTCTCCAATTGAGAAATCACTCACAAAGGATAGGCGCATGAGGCACGTCCTCTTCACCCTAACCCTCTGGACAGCCTACTGTCAGTGATTATTATTGAAGCTTTCCCATAATCACTTGATTCTTTTGGTGTAATTTTGAAAAATGGTTTCTGATAGAGTTTACTCTTTCAGGAATCAGGATAAATGACATAAAATTATTTCAGAGGCTCCAGCCAATTCTGTAAAGGAAATCAACCTTGAGTAGACAGGCAAGTTAATTACCATGACTAACTCATTGAGGAATAAACCTTTATATAAATGTGAAGTATCACTTTCTAATAATTATACCAGATAGAAATTACAATGAGAATATATGTTCAGAGATATTTTCAAATAAAACTTCTACTTCAGCAATCTCCCGATTTGATATTAAATCTTCTCTCTGTATGTGATAATACCTAAAAAGAGAAAATAGAATACAGAAATAGTCCACTCACCAATTAAAGCCATGCAGATTACTAGGATTCCCTCCAAAATATCTATTCGATGAAATAATGCTTTGGAACCGAGATAGGAAGTCCGCTTCTGCCTTTTGCAAGCATACTTCAGAACACATTTTAGAGCCCACCAAATACCCATGATGAAGAAGAAGCTTCCAGGGAGGGCATGACCTTTGAAACTCCCCATGTCTATAAGATAAGAACATAGAAAATGGAGATATTTTATTTCCAGAACTTAGCCAAATGTCGCTTGTTCTCTATTTCTGATTATTATGGACACACCACTGACTCAGAGGAAATGATAAAATAGTATTACTGTCAACAGTAGTAGACCCACTACAATATCAATACCAGTAAGGAAAAAAATTCACAGTCTTTGAACACTTACCTTGTTCAAGGCACTGTGCCAAGTGTTTTACATGAGATCTTTAACCTAATTTTTACAATATACCCATGAATGAAAGACTAAAGCCCATTTTAAACTGGGATACAGGTTGAGAGACGTTAAAAGACTTACCCAAATCTCACAACTATTAAGCAAAAATTTCATTGTTTGTAACAGGGATCCCAAAAGGATTTCTTATGCGTATTTGAAGACAAGTAATATTAAAGTTTTACTTTTATGTTTAAAACTTGAAATGATAATAAAATTACCTACAATTTTTTTTAAGTAAGTAATTCCAAGTATCAAGAACCAAATGTTTGGAAAAGACTGCTAGTGCTTATCAGATATCTGTGTGCTCCTCCCCACACTTCTCCCAACCTCTCCTTTAGTTCAGTCAGAACCATGTTTCTCGTTCTGGCCAAGGGACTGTGGCATTTACCACATTCAGGCTGAGTCACTTAGGAGCCTGCAGGACTGCTTTAGCTCTCTTCCCCTGTCTTGCTAATCTTGACATGGCATGTCTGCAACATAGAGGATGACCAACCAGCTTGTTTCAGATTTTGCAAAAAACAAACTTTGATTGTGTCAGGTCATTGAAATTTGGAGGTTTAACAGCTTGACCCAGCTGGTAACCCAGATGGCTACCAAGCCAAATCAACTGTAAATTCTGTGTACACATTTGCTGCATGTTAGGGCAATAATCAACAGAAATGTCTTCCATTCTTGGTCAGTGCTATAGGAAACAGTCTTGAATGATCTAAGTTTTGAATTAATATGAGCAGCCCTTTGTTCAAATATATGGTGCCATCAATGAAATAATGAAGAGAAAGTTCAGAATCATCCTTGTAGATCTGATTATGAAATAAGACTCCAGTGTTCCCCTCACCCAGCAGAGTTCTTTATCTCTGTGGGTGGGTGTTAGGCCACTCAATTCAGGGCAGACCCCTTTGGGTTACTTCCACATCCCTCTGATGCAATGGTGGAGTTTCAAGGGGGAACTGGGAAACTGATTCACATGATAAAATTCTCTTAAATATCTATTCAAGACCCCAAATGGACATTTCAGCACAGCCCTGGCTCATGCAAACCATTCAAGAGACTGATTCAATATTATCACACAGTGCTAAAATTATTACATAAACCTATTCTTTCTACTCCCCCTTGTACTTGGATAGTGCCTTATACACCGTGCAGTTCTAACTTAACAAGAGTATAACTAAGCCCTTCCTATAATATAGGGTCATTTATTTTTAAAACATTTCCATTTTGATGTCTCAAAGCACACTTATAGTCAACATACCCCAAAACTGAGCAGATCATAGTATCCACTTACTCACTGCCAAAATGTCTTTCCCCAGTTAACTATTTTGGTTATCACCACCATTCACCCACTTGCTCAAATTCACAATATGAAACTCATCCTAGAGTCTACCTATATTCCTGAAAACCAAGTGGTTATTGAGACCTATTGCCTCTACAGCCTTACCCTCCCCTGCCCCAAGTTGGGCAACTTCCCCTGGCCCCTTCAAGTCTATCTGCTTGGGGAATCCTCCCTGACAACCCAAGCAGGAGAGAGGCCTTCCTATCAAGGTACCCAGTTCTCACTTTAAGGAATTCTTTGTGTGATCAATCACTAAAGGTCTGTCCTCTCCACTAGCCTCTGTGTTCATTACCGGGTTGTGAGAGCCTACGCAGCGAGCACCTGTGGCCTCTCAGAGGGTAGGCACCTCCATTTTTGGAGGCTCCAGCATATTAAAAAAGGAAGAAAATGCCAACACAAGGCTATAAAAACTGTGGTTGTTTTTAAGTGTTTAGATTTACCTCATAAATACTTTCAACACTCACATAAAATATATACCTAATGTGCAAGATAACATGAACAGTTAATTTGGGGCCCTTCCTCATCGTGCAGCGGTAGGCCACGTATCTTCCTAGCCCACCTCCAGGGCCAGCTGACAGGTTCCCGCTTCCCCAAGTGCTTAGTGAGCCGGCACATCTCAGCACAGCGGCCAGGTCGGGATCGGGAGGCGCTGGGGAGTGGTTGACGGTTTTTAAAGAGGGATAGGAAGTGATGGGAGTGGGAGGAAAAAAATGAGTCCCTATTTCTACTTCAGTTATAAAATTTTTGTATGTTTAGGCTTTTAATCTAAACCAATCTGATGGTTCCAATCATTTTCTGTTTAAACAGCCCAAACAAAACGAAGTTAAAGCAGGCCTGCTATACTTGCCTGACCCAACAACCCCAGTTGCTCCCGGCACAGCAAATGCCATTCATTTTACTTCATTTTCAATGTGACAAAAAAAAGTTGCCTAGCTCCCCAAATATCATGTCAGTGTCATCTCCTAGAACACCATTATCCATAAATCTATTTTTTTATCCCGTTTTACTATTCCCCCTCACGTACCCCTTATTAGTTCTACAAGCCAAGTACTCCAGAGTTTAATTAGATCTTAATCCAAAGAACAGACGTATCCCCTTTGGAAGGAGAACAAAGGGCTCTCCTTAACCACAAAGCAGAGCATACCTGCCTGACAGCTGGCAGAAACCCTAGGGAAAATCTCCAGGAAAGGAATGAAAAAGGTCCTTTTTCAACATCCTCCCTGCCTGATCTCACCACTTATAATCCCACAAAGGGAAAGTGGTTCACTGAGGCCTAAAAGGGCACAAGATTCAATCACTGGTTTCCAGATGCAGTTCAACCTGAAAATTCATACTCTCCCCCCACCCAGAACCCCTCTGCTCCTAATGACACCAAACATCATCTTCTGGCCTAAAGATGAGAGACAGCTCCTGATACCCATATTGGGCCCTTTTTCCCTGACTGCGACTTCAACACATGCACACACACGCGCATCAGTCAAAAAGGAGATATTTTAAAACTGAAGCACTTAAGAGATAATATTGGGTAAATCCCAAGATCTAAATCAGGTGTTGGGTGTTAATTCTCAGTTGTTACAGTTACATAAACCACCAACTAGGCCTGTGCAGAGAAAAAGGAGAGTAGCCCAGAGAAAACATTCTAGTTTTCTTGGTGGAATCTCAATCAAATAGCTAACTTCAATATAAAATGAACACCATGAGAGAAAACTTAAACTTACACTTCACCTTGAACCACCACTAAAATAAAGTATTCCTAAAGCTTAATTAACAATTCATATTTCAAGACACATTTGTAAATTCCAATACACTAAACCAGTTTGAACTATTTATTCAGCTTCACTTTACTATTTGCCTTAACAGTCAAAGTAAAAGCATATGCAAGCATATGTAGCTTTCTTTCTTTTTTGAGTCTCCATCATTTCATACTGGCACTTTCTCTCCCAAATTGCCACTGTTTTGAAAGTTGTCTTAATTAAACTTTCCTTACCTTCGCACTTTCCTTAATGTCAAGTCCAACTCAATTCTTCTTCCAAGAATGTATAATGGTTCTGGTCTGAAGAAGGCAAAGAAGATACTGATTGGTCTAACTCTAAAACTCTTCCTCCATGGACACTAAACCAAGGCGCTCATCCCTCCCAGAATGAGGTTGAGCAGAGAAGCCTCCACAATGTCACATGTCTGCATAAATGTGAACCCAGGGGCCACACCCTTCCGAACATCCTACCTTTCTGTCTAAACTTGTGTCATAGAGTATTTCTCAATGAGACTCACCTTGTCACCCCGCCCACAGGACCACCAGCATCAGACATGTACCACCTGCTATGAGAACCAAAGCCAGCTGGGTATGTGTGATCTTCGCTATCTCTCTTCCAGGTCATCAAGATAAACATAAGGCAAAAGGAATGGTTATGGCAGCAGTAACATAACAGAGCCTGTTTGACAAGTCCTGTAGACGTAGTCCGTTTCCTAACATACAGTACTTCCAGCAAGAGATTGCCACAGGTGCCAGGGCTGGAGTCGTAATCAAAACCATAGTCACAATAAGAATAAAAGACGATGGAATGAAATTGCCATAGGTCAATAATGAAGTTGACTTGTTCTGAAGGAGTATGCAATGTGGTAGAGAGATAAGTGCACAAACTATTTAAACCAATGTGAGGCCTGCACAAAGTCAAAGGGGAACAAGGCAGCAGGAATAATCTGACTCTAACCTAGAGAACTGGCAGCTGCCATCCTGTCTCTATACAAGCCTTATTTTTCCTCTTAATGTTAAACACTTGGTGAGCAAGGGCCATGTCTTCTGTAACGCTCTGCATCTAGTTAGCACTCAGTAAATAACCAGTGGCCCTGGCCGGTGTGGCTCAACTGGTTGGAGCATCGACCTTTGGACGGCAAGGGCGCAGGTTCAATTTCCATTATGGGCACATAACCGGGTTCAATCCCTGATTGGGATATATACAAGAAGATGACCAATCAATATTTCTGTCTCTCTTTCTCTCTCCCTCCCTCTCTCTCAAAGAGCAATAAAATAAAAATGTCCTTGGGTGAGGATAAAAATAATAAATAAATAACCAGTGAGTGATGAGCTCCTGCATTAACTCGACCTCCCTGAAACATGGACTTGGGTGGCAACCAGTATCAGAAACAGCTGTACTGGTTAGTTATACGTGGATTCCTGGGCCCTGCTTCAGATCTACCGAATCAATCAGCAGGGCCAGGAGTCTAAATCTCAACAAGTACTCACCAGGTGGTTTTTATGTATTCCTGAGTTTTGAAAACCGAAAGCTTATAGTATGTGGAAACAAGCAGAGTGACACTATGACAGCAAGATTTCAATGTGACCTTTCCACCACCACACCCCAGAGGCCTTTCATCAACCACCAGGGTCATAAATCCTGGTGCGTTTGTTCACACTGGACAG